CAAGGACAAGTGTAAGGTCTTGCACCTGGGAAAACATAATCCAGGAGTGCAGCACAGACTGGGATCCAACTAGCTGGAGAGCAGCTCTGTGGAAAGGGACCTGGGGGTCCTGGTGGACAGGAAGCTCAATATGAGTGAACAGTGTGCTGCTGTGGCAAAGAAAGCCAACAGGATGCTGGGTTGCATCAACAAGGGCAACACCAGCCGAGATAAAGAAGTCATTATCCCACTTAGCACTTGGCAGGTCACACCTGGAATACTGTGTTCAGTTTTGGTTCCCACTATGCAAAAAGATGTGGACAGGCTGGACAGGGTCCAAAGAAAGGCCACAAAGATGATCAAAAGACTGGGAAGCCTGCCATATGAGGAAAGACTGAGAGAACTGGTTTTGTTCAGCCTTGAGAAAAGGCTTAGGGGAGACTTTATCACCATGCTCCAGTATTTAAAGGGTGGCAACAAAGAAGATGGAGACTCCCTTTTTGCAAGGAGTCACATGGAAAAGATGAGGGGTAATGGGTACAAGTTACTTCCTGGGGAGATTCCGATTGGACACAAGAGGAAAATTTTTCACAACAAGAACAACCAGCTATTGGAATAATCTCCCCAGGAAAGTGGTGGATTCCCCAACTTTGGACATTTTTAATATTCAGCTGGACAGGGTGCTAGGCCGTCTTGTCTAGACAGTCCTTGTGCCAAGAAAGTTTGGACCGGATCCTTGAGGTCCCTTCCAGCCAGGTATTCTGTGATTCTGTTATATAGAATCTATGTATATATGTGTGTGTGTGTGTATTTTTTTTTAATTTATAGAGTTTTACAGAATAAAACAGTTGGTGTAACGACATTGAGAAGAAGTTTGATTTTTTTTTTTTCCCTCCCTCTAAAACTTTAGATTACATTTTCAGAAGGTCAGGCCCTGTCCACAATCACCCTGACAATTCTTGCGGATGGTGTTGCAGAGCTTTCAGAGACTGTGGAAATCACACTCACCCATGTTACCACTGTGGGTGTTCAGGATACCAAAAAAGGAGCTGTCATTGATCCCAAAAGGGCAAGAGCTGTACTTATAATTTTACCCAGTGACTCTCCACATGGTGTGATTGGGTGGCATATGGAGTCTCTCTTTGTTAAAGTCACAGAGCCAGAAGGTAAGCCTGTTTCTTGATTCTTAGGAAAAAAATATATGTTTTTTCAAAGTCAGCATTGTTGAAGCTGTAACAATGGTTTTATATATATGATATATATAAAACATGTATTTTATTTATATATATGGAGTCTAATGTATATGTTTATTTGTATATATTATATATAAATACGTATAATATGTATAATATATGTTTTATTTAACTATATCGGCATTTTTCTATAAAAAATTTGTAGCAGAAATGTCCTTTAAAATATGTAATTATGCTATTGCATTACCTAAATTTTATGCTGTATTTCATATTGCATATATCAACATTATCCAGTCATTTTTGTTTAGTGGGTAAGTTATTAAAATCTTGGCATCGTGTTGCAAATCAATAATACATAAAATACTTCTATTTAGATAAAAATCCAAACTTGCTCATTTAATGGGATTAATATATTGTTTAAAATAATTTACATAGAAAGACTTTCCTCATGAATTGGGTCAAAAAGGGAAGCTTTTTGTTCCGTGGGACAGGGGAAGGAAGGAAGCAGAGCAAGAGTGAATTCCATTTCAAGAAAACGGAATTGGGGTTTTTCTTCTTGCCAGCTGTGTGTTTGATTGCGTTATGTCAGTTTTCCTTCCAGGCACCAAGTGAAATTGTAAAGGATCTGCCAGGCAGTGGGCCAGAGGAGGACTGCCGTGGTACTATGGGCTCCTGCCCTCCCTGCCGGGCCAGGGAGCTAGGCAGCTGATTGCTCTGGCATTCTCTACAGCCTGGTGGTTTTATAGCAGCTGCCTGATGGGCTATTCATGCTTCAAAAGCCCAATTGAAATTTCCTGGCAATTTAATATCCTGTCCATATTAACAAATAAAATTTATGAAAAATACATTTTACATCAGAATATTATTGCAGATAAAACCTCCTCACCAGTTCTACTTTAAAGTGAATTAGTGTTGCCCCTTTTTTAGCACCTGAAAGTATTGTGAAGGGATTTTGTTGGTTCCTTACATATGCACACAAGCACATTATAAACGTTTATACTTTAAAGTTAGGATTCAAGGCATGTTCTTAGGTTTCATTTGTTGCACAGTTTCTTTTCTAATCTTTAAATGCTGTATTTTTAATTAATTATATACAGGTGCTAACTGTGAATTAGTATCTAGTTAATACAAGTAACAGAAACTAGTCTGAACTACAAAGCCTGTGGCTTTTTATCTGTTCCTACTTCTCTAGTCATAGACCCAGCACTTTTAGCTAAATGCCATGTTTGGTGGTTCACTGGAAAAAATTGCAAATCTAGTTTACCAAAAGGGATCTGAGCCTGACTGATACAAGTGTATCTCATTTTCTTCAACATTTGAGTTAAGGAAAAGTAAAATTTACAGCCAGAGTGAGTGCCTCCAATGCTGCTTTCTGTGTTAGAATCAATAGTGATCTCCTAGGCATGTAAAGACCAAGCAAAATAGTGAGATGGGAGTTTTGAAGGAAAACTGAATAAAAATGTCAGTGTTGAAGTAACAGTTTGTGTAGCGAACATTTAAAACTGTAAATGGTCCATATTTTATTCTTCCGCTACATCCAGTTTTAAAATGCTTTCTAGATGTACACACTGTGTGTTGTGTGTGTTCACATCACTTGTGTGACTCGTTTGCCTGAGGCAATTGAATTATCAAAGTATTGTGTTGCTAAGCAGAATTGAAGTGGGCTCTAGCAAGCAGCTCCAGTACAATTAGGTGAGCTGAAAATCAAGCAGGGCAAGCGTTAAAACGATCATGTCTTGATTTTTTTCCCCTTCTTGTTATAGGGCAAGTGAATTCAACTACTCTGACTTTACAAATTGTTCGAGAGCAAGGGTTTGTTGGAGAGATTGCAGTTCAGCTGAGCACTGCACCTAACTCTGAACTCCCCCTCTCCAACCAAGCAACAGAGAATAAGGATTATGTACTGGAAAAGAAGACAATCATTATGGCAGAGAACGCAACAATAACTTCTGTCATAGTCACTATTTTGCCTGTGAGTAGTCTAACAACAACTTTAGCTCTTTTAAAGAAAGGGAAGGTGGTACTGTTTCTATACCAGAAGTAAGATTTAACATTCTAGAAATGGCTAAGGTGGGATTCTTGCCTCGTCAGATGGTTGTTAAGAATTGCAGCCATCTCTTTCAAAAGAATTCAAGTATTCATCACTAAGAATGAACCAAATTCTTTGGATTTTGTAGTCCCCAAATTAACATATAATAATGACAAAGGAAAAAACTATAAATGTCTTAGGTGCTTGCTGTTTTTCAACTTGTTACAGGTTTTCACAGAGGATTTATTTTACTTTACATGCCTCTTAGCAAGTGTGTTCTGCAGTTCAGCAAAGGTTAATTTTTCACCAAAAAATGTGTATATTCTTTAAATGTATTCAGAATGGAGGTATTGCTTTTCAAGTTCCAGCTTAGTTTCTGAAATCTAGCCACCTTTCTTATAGATAGGAGAAACAAGTGACAGCCAACAATACTTTCCACTGTTCTTACAGATCTGAAATCTGACTTCCAACTTCAGTTTCTAAAGCTCAGCAAAGGTAGCTTTTTTCACCTTTCATATGATGTGAAGCAAGGGATTGGTTATATGGTCCCAAGTGCTGAGAATTTTTGAACAGTAAGCAACCTACAAGTAGTCAGCTTCCTGCATGTATTATAACTTACAGTGTTTTCTTAAAAAAGTTACTTTAAAAAATATTTTTGCAGGACAATGTTCCAGAATTACAGGAAGGATTTATAATCAATATTACTGATGTGCAACTGGTCGATTCTCCCACTGGAGGTCAGCCAAGCGTGAAGAGGCTTGGGTTAGAAATAGCTGAAATAACAATTGAAGAAAATGATGATGCCAGAGGAGTATTTAGTTTCAATGTTACAAAGGTAAGTAAATCTGAATGAAAAATACTTAAAGTAGCATCCTGGCAGGAGAGTCTGTGTTTTCAGACCAGTTTTGATAGTGTTCTAACAGGCTTTATGACACTAAATTCTTCTGGATAAAAAGGCCAGATACCAGACAAACAATTCCTTCTTAAAAGGTTCTTCACAATTAATGTATGAAATTTATTAAGGAGCTGGAAGTGCTAAAACTGATGTCATAGAATATTCTGAAATTTTTCTCAGAGCAAGGTCAATGCTAAATTCAGACCAATTTACAAGTGATTATGTATTTCTTAATTTACTTTTACCTGCAAGCCAATATGCAAAAAAAAAAAAAAAAAAATATTGCTGTGACACTGTGTGTTGTGTGTGTTCACATCACTTGTGTGACTCGTTTGCCTGAGGCAATTGAATTATCAAAGTATTGTGTTGCTAAGCAGAATTGAAGTGGGCTCTAGCAAGCAGCTCCAGTACAATTAGGTGAGCTGAAAATCAAGCAGGGCAAGCGTTAAAACGATCATGTCTTGATTTTTTTCCCCTTCTTGTTATAGGGCAAGTGAATTCAACTACTCTGACTTTACAAATTGTTCGAGAGCAAGGGTTTGTTGGAGAGATTGCAGTTCAGCTGAGCACTGCACCTAACTCTGAACTCCCCCTCTCCAACCAAGCAACAGAGAATAAGGATTATGTACTGGAAAAGAAGACAATCATTATGGCAGAGAACGCAACAATAACTTCTGTCATAGTCACTATTTTGCCTGTGAGTAGTCTAACAACAACTTTAGCTCTTTTAAAGAAAGGGAAGGTGGTACTGTTTCTATACCAGAAGTAAGATTTAACATTCTAGAAATGGCTAAGGTGGGATTCTTGCCTCGTCAGATGGTTGTTAAGAATTGCAGCCATCTCTTTCAAAAGAATTCAAGTATTCATCACTAAGAATGAACCAAATTCTTTGGATTTTGTAGTCCCCAAATTAACATATAATAATGACAAAGGAAAAAACTATAAATGTCTTAGGTGCTTGCTGTTTTTCAACTTGTTACAGGTTTTCACAGAGGATTTATTTTACTTTACATGCCTCTTAGCAAGTGTGTTCTGCAGTTCAGCAAAGGTTAATTTTTCACCAAAAAATGTGTATATTCTTTAAATGTATTCAGAATGGAGGTATTGCTTTTCAAGTTCCAGCTTAGTTTCTGAAATCTAGCCACCTTTCTTATAGATAGGAGAAACAAGTGACAGCCAACAATACTTTCCACTGTTCTTACAGATCTGAAATCTGACTTCCAACTTCAGTTTCTAAAGCTCAGCAAAGGTAGCTTTTTTCACCTTTCATATGATGTGAAGCAAGGGATTGGTTATATGGTCCCAAGTGCTGAGAATTTTTGAACAGTAAGCAACCTACAAGTAGTCAGCTTCCTGCATGTATTATAACTTACAGTGTTTTCTTAAAAAAGTTACTTTAAAAAATATTTTTGCAGGACAATGTTCCAGAATTACAGGAAGGATTTATAATCAATATTACTGATGTGCAACTGGTCGATTCTCCCACTGGAGGTCAGCCAAGCGTGAAGAGGCTTGGGTTAGAAATAGCTGAAATAACAATTGAAGAAAATGATGATGCCAGAGGAGTATTTAGTTTCAATGTTACAAAGGTAAGTAAATCTGAATGAAAAATACTTAAAGTAGCATCCTGGCAGGAGAGTCTGTGTTTTCAGACCAGTTTTGATAGTGTTCTAACAGGCTTTATGACACTAAATTCTTCTGGATAAAAAGGCCAGATACCAGACAAACAATTCCTTCTTAAAAGGTTCTTCACAATTAATGTATGAAATTTATTAAGGAGCTGGAAGTGCTAAAACTGATGTCATAGAATATTCTGAAATTTTTCTCAGAGCAAGGTCAATGCTAAATTCAGACCAATTTACAAGTGATTATGTATTTCTTAATTTACTTTTACCTGCAAGCCAATATGCAAAAAAAAAAAAAAAAAAATATTGCTGTGAAACTCCGCACTTTTTTTTTTAATTTACAAGATATAATATTGCTGTGACACTCAGCACTTTCTTGTTGAATTTACAGGATATAACTGGAGCTGTTGCTGGTTATGAGGTACCACCACCACAGAATATACTGAAGCTTCCAGTTGTTCGACAGGCTGGGAGGTTTGGGTCAGCAACTGTGTATTGGGAAGCCATTCATTCAACTGCTAGCTTTGAAGACTTCACACCATCATTTGGAAACCTTACATTTGCAGATGGGCAGGTATGCGCTTGCTGAAAGTTTAACTGCCTCTGGGTTACCAGATTACGAGTTTCTTATGTTTTCTTCCAGCAGAATTTACATCTTTTCATTGAAAACATTTTATTTATGGCCTTATGTAAGTGAATGATGCTTCTGACTTCAACTCTTTAACACTGAAAAGCAGAATGTTCATAAGCATTGAACAAATCGAGTTGTATGCCTTTGGTACCTCCACAAGTGAAGACATAATTACTAATAATAAAGCCTGTCACACTGAAAATTTGTAACATAATCTGTCTTCTCTAGAAATTCTCAGAATAAGCCTGTATGTTTTCTTAGCTGTCTTGTACATATAGTTTTAAATTTCATGGTGCCCCGACAATATTTAGTGTACACAAGGGTTTTTGATTTCAAGGGAACGGAACTGATCTTTGGCAAATAGAAGGATATACTTTGTGAGCAGAATTTTGGCTTAAGTGCAATATTGTCTACCTGCACTTTCTACTGAGTACCAAAGCAGAGCAGTCTGCTGGTTTTAACATACAAGATTTACGCTGATGGACCTAAAAATCACTCTTGAAATTTTGCTTTCATATTGTAAATATACAAGTACAATAAGAAAAAAGCACAATTTAACAATGTGTGTTTATCTCTTATTAGATAAAATTTACCTATTTTAAATGTCAGATTTTTTCAAACAATTCAAAGAATATTATAAATGAAACTTTGTTGCTCTTTTTTTTTTAACAATTTCTGCAGGCTACAGGAGAAATAGAAATTACAATCACAGATGACAGTGAAGTTGAATTCCTTGAGATATTCAAGATTGCCCTGGTGAGGGTAACAGGTGGTGCAAGACTTGGGGATGACACCCTGGTAACTGTTGCTATTCCACCAAATGATTCCCCTGTTGGAGTATTTGGATTTGAAGAAAAGACTGTGAGTTTGATTTGGATTGCACTCTTTTCTGCTAAAGTTGGATAGTGGGTTTATGTCATACATAGCCAATTTTCATAAGCCTTCATTGCAGTGGAAGACCTGACTTCATTGACAGGCATATTAGTGCTTGTCTTCATCTAGCTGTGTAGGATGGTAATAACAATGAAAGTGTTGCTCCATAGAGGTAGATTTCTACATGACTGAATCAATTTAATTCAGTATACTAACAATTCAGGACATATCAGGAAGATTTTTGGTAGCCTGTTGAATATTAACATGGTTTTGTAATAATTGGTATTACTGAAAGTAAAGTTTGGAAAGAAATTGTGAAACATATCTCATCTTAGTTCTTGTCAGTGAATGATTCTTCTGCTCTCCATTTTGCTGGTGCTTTGCCTGCTTGTGACTCATTGTCTGTAATCATTTTGAATCATAGGGCATACAGAAATAACCCGAGTGACTAATCTTTGCTAGCAGAATGCAACACATGCCTTACGTCCATTATCTTCCTGTTTATTTTCACTCTTGTCCTTATTTTATATTGTCATTGGTAATATTTTTTGTTGTTTTCCTCAAGCCAGTATCAATGCATTTTGCTACAGCCTTTCCTACTTCCTCCTTCTCTTACTTCATCAGGTAACAGTGAAGGAACCTCAGACACCTGATGACTCTGCTGCAGTTGTATTGCTCACTGTAAGTCGAAGTCAAGGAGGACAAGGAGAAGTTAAAGTGTTATGGATTCTTGAGGAAGCTGCCAGATATGATCTGACCCCTCTGAATGGTACCCTTCAATTCAATGAGGTATTTCTGATATTGCAATGAATTTTTACTATTAGATTTATAAATACCTTCTCCTTCTTATGTGTGTTTGCATGGTTGTTGTTACATGTTTATAGAAGTAGGGCATTACTAAGTATTATAACACTAGGAAAAGGCCAGTTTGAACTGGTGGGGTTAGCAGTATGCGGTGTTTTTTCAAACAGAAAAGGGAAGATGACATGCTCTTTTTAAGGCAGCATAATGCAATCATTAGGAAGATAGATTCTTCAAATCTGAATTGTTTTTACAATTAAGAAAGAAGAACAAAAATGTACTGAAAGTAAAGAATGATTACAGAAACATTTATTCCGTTGCAGTATCAGACAGCTGAAAGAGAAAAATGATATTGAAAGGGTGAGAAGGATAAATGAATGGTCAACATTTGCAGATTTTAAAAAATAAATAATAAAACACCCTAGTGACTGGCAAATTGGACAGTATTATTTGATTTGTGTTTTATGGCAGGGTAAAACTCTGAAGTAGGTGCCAAAATATTGCATATTGTCAAGCTATTTTTGTTGTGTTAGTATTGGTCTTTTACAGTCTATTCAAAATATTTAATGAAGAAAAGTGTTTTAACATAAAGCATAATCTATTCTGTCTGTAGAAGGCTGTTTTGCATTAAACAAATAGGCACACCGGCTGTTTCTTTTACTTTTAATCAGCTGGAAAATAGCTTTTTTGGTGAGACCAACAGTATTTGGCAAAGTTTTGCTATCATTTTGCTATCCTTTCTCTACTGATAGGCCTGGATATTGTTTTTTTCTTCCTGAAGTTCTTATATGTGCATACATGTAAGAATACAAGTATGTATGTATGGTGTACTAAAAAGTTATACAATGTGTACCTACTTTTTTTCTATATTATTTTAAGCATTTGCTACTGCCCACTGACAAAAATGTAGATGAGACAGGAATTTGCTATAGCCTAATATATTTAATCTTAATAATGTTAATCCTTAGAATGTATGTATTTTATTGAATATGCACTTTCTGATGGAAAAGATTTTGTATAGAAAGTTTCCTCTAAGTTGAAAACTTCTATGTGAACACAATTTCACAGTAATTTCAATTGTTATTCAGTAGAATATTTCAAAGGTATTTCTGGGGTGGCACACAATGTTTGAGAGACAATTTTTACTATTTATTAATCTGTGAGAAAACATTTCAACCAGATCAGAAATGTCATGTTTAAAAAAATATTACAGAATATATCAAGTGTATGCATGCTTAACTCTTGATTTGTTAAAGAAAAAAAACTTTTTTTAATACCATATTTTGTTTACTTTCACTTAATATGTATATATACATATCTTCTGGTCTTTATGTGATGCAGACTGAATCTCAGAAGCTGATTGTTTTACATGCGGTACAAGATGGTCTACTGGAGGGGAATGAAACATTTACCATTCAGCTAGTCTCTACTGGTGATGCAGAAATATCCCCTGTAAATGGTAAAGAATTAATTCATTATAATTTATTTTGAGACATTTCATATGAGAATTCTAGTAAGTCTGTTCATATTATTTTAGTCTTCAGTGCTTATATATTTTGTGTGCAGCTAGTTGGTAGCAGTTTTGACTGTCAGTCTTTTTCCCTAAGTTGATCCTTTTTCTGAAGAAATCAAGGAGAATGTTAGATCATAATCTTACATTCTAAATTAATTGTTGGTGTAGACTTCTGTGTTCAGATGGTTAACATTGTCTGTAAAGAATTATTTAACTAAAAGAAGCAAAAACCAAAACCAGGTTCAGACCTGTAAGAATCATAGAATAATTTCATTTGTAAGGGACCACCCAGGGGGGTCATCTAGTTGAAAACCCTGCTCAAGGAACAGGAGACTTCACAATTACATTAGGTTGCTGAATGCCTTGTCCACTCAAATCCTGAATATCTTCCAGGATGAGGATTCCATGGACTCTCTGGGAAGCTGGTTCTTAACCACTCATGCCACAAAATTTACAAAAGTTAGCTCGTTAGCTAGTTTTCATTTACCATGAGAAGCTTTGTTCTCTTCATAGGTGTTGCAACCATCATTATTGTGGGTGACAAAGGAGCTTCTGGGGTGGTTGGGATAGCCCATTCATCCAAGCATGTTCTGATTGGAGAACCATCAGGAAATTATAACGGAACTGCTCTAATTAGGTGGGTACATCACTCATTTTTCCAAAGGAGGGACAACAGCTAAATTTCAAAAGCTGTGAGGCTCCACATTTGGCAAGAATTTCTTGAGTGCTGCATTTCATTATCACTTCTAAAATCAGAACTATTTTTGAACTTAGATGCTTGTTTTTAAAGAAGGGCAGAATATACTATGTATTTGTCTTTTCAGTATTAGTGGGGAGCTCCAAATATTCCTCTCAGTCTTCAAATTATTTACAACATTGATGCATTAAAGGAAAGAAGGTTCTAATCAAAGGAAGTGGGGAAAGGAATCAATGACATTTGAAGATGATTTGTGCTTTTCAGGATTCAGTTCAGGATTGGTGCCTGAACTGTATTGCAGTATATTGCTATGATGGCTAGCATAACCAAAGTGGGAAATGGGTTTTTAGTTGAAAGAAGATGCAATTATTTCACTGCATTCAGTCAACTCAAAAACAGGAGGAAGAAATGAAGATGTTACTATACCTTCTAAGAGTATGGGAAAAAAGGATTATGACACTTTCCTTTGGTGAACCAGCAAATATAAGCAACAAAACAGTTTCTCATGCTGCCCTGAGAAGCCCAAAAGACAAAGTGATGCTTTGTGCAGCAGCAGTTGTAGATCACATAGTAGATCATGTTAGGTATAGGCAAATTTTCACCATGACTTAGTTCATCAAGACTTGATGTCATGAGTAGGATTAGGCTCTAGGTTTTTAGACAAGTAGCAGACAGAATATTTCTCAGGTGATCTCATAGTAGTATTCCAGTGTCCTTCTGCCTTAAAAATCAAATTGTCTCTGGGCATTACTCTTAAGTCACATTTCCCTTCTGTTTTGCATATCTATCTACAGAAAAGCAGAATGGAATCAAGAGAGCTCAATTTTCAGCCCCCAATTTTGAGCTGTATGTGCAAAGAAGCTTTAAAGACCTCTCAGTAAAAATACAGCTCAAGGTGCCTCCCAACACAGGGAAGTAAAACAGAACTACAAAAATGTTATTGCTCTGGAGAGGGATTTGTAAAGATCTTAATAGTGACTTAGTACATTAAAACTCAAGCTTCACAGTGTTGATAACATTTCTTTCATGCACAACAATATGATATACTGTCTGTCTCTGAATTGGATATTAAATATTAAAGGTAGAAAATAAAATCTGTGTTTGTATTCTTACCTGCAGCCTGACACGTGGCCCAGGGATTTTTGGTGAGATCATAGTATATTGGAATATAACACCTCCTCATCACACAGAATTTATTGAGACATCGGGGACCTTGACAATGCGAGACAGGCAGTCTGCAGCAGTTGTTCTAATACAGGTATATGAGAGATTTGACAACAGTAGCTATTTCAAGTACTTCCTTTTAGTTAGTATCTTGGTTAGAAATTAGTTATATCTCTCTCCCTGGAAATGTTTTAAATCCTTTTAGCTTTCATTGGTTCTTCTCCCTAGGCTGCAGATGACAACCGTCCTGAGGAGAAGCATTACTACCAGTTTCAACTAACTGGAATTAGTGACGGAGGACTCATAAATCAATCTAGCAGCACAGCAAATATTACCATGGCTGCCAGTGATTTTCCATATGGAGAGTTTACATTTTCACAGGAACTATTGCAAACAACAGAAGAAGAAAAATGGGTATTAGATTAAAATTCCTTCTTATGTAAAATATTGATAGATGTCAATATTGTTGCTAGATTTATGCTTAACTTCAGAAAAAAACAATCAAAGATTTATTCTACATTTATTGTATCATAGTCTCCATAATGGCTGTCTCAGGCTTTTGGAGTTTTTTAATACTCTGAGAAAGAAGGCTATCTGCTAAGTTACATGTACTCTGTACTTACTAAAGCAAATTGTTGTTACCTGACAGAACCATTGAAAAGATGCCTTTAGAACAGTCTCCTAAAGGCAACTGTAACAGAAAAACAAAGCCATTTTTAAAGGAAATGTCCTCTTTTCCTCAGGTTAACATCACTATTGTGCGTTCCAGGGGATCCTATGGCAAAGTGCATCTTTGCTTTCAGATAATAAATGGGACTGCAGAGGAGGGAATTGATTTCACTCCCATAGTAGGGGAATTGTTGTTTGAACCACATGAGAAGAGTAAAATGATTTTGGTTGAAATTCATGATGATGACTTTCCTGAAGGTCCTGAAGACTTTTCAGTGATGATTATCAAAGTGGAACTCCAAGGAAGGTAAAGATAAAATTGCCAGTTAATTGATTACAAGCAGAACAACAAACTGTATTTGGAATCTGATATACCTGCATAAAGTTACCAATGGATTTCAGCTGTTTTACTGTAAAATTTCATAAGACAGCTATAATAGTAATCATAATAGAAATTGGATGTATGGGAAACCCAGTTCTTTTAACATTAGTATAAAGATTTTGCTGATTAAGATTTATTAAAGTTAAAAGTCCGTACATTACATAAAAGTTGTCAAGTTGCACGAAATTCAAATAAGAATAAAATGAGAAAGAAAAAATGAAAGATGCACATTTCTGTGAATAAACTACTAGTTTTGCATATATAATAGTTTGAAAAAGTGTGACCAAAAAGTCTAATACTTTCACAAGAATTTTAAATGTAATTTTCTTTTTTATGTTCTGGCAAGTGGATTTGATTTTACTGTAAAAGAAAATGGTCTACAGATTGATCAACCTCCAGTAATAGGAAATATCTCCACAGTACGAGTCACTATAGCAAAAAGTGATAATGCAGAAGGCATCATAGAATTTGATCCACAGTATATCCTTCTACAGGGTAAGTTTACCTTAAGTTTTCACTGTGGTTTAGAAGATAACTCTGTGGCTATGGCATAAATTTTGAAATAAAATAACTTTTTCTCAATTATTCTTGCAGTGGAAGAGGATGCTGGATTAATCATGATTCCTGTTGTGAGAAAGCATGGAACGTATGGCTATGTAACAGCTGATTTTCTTTCTCGAAGCATTTCTGCACTTCCCGGTGGTGTTGACTATGTCATCCATAATAATTCTGTCATTTTTTATCATGGCCAGAACCAGACTTTTATTTATATCTCTATTATAGATGATGAAGAAAGGTAATTAATTTTTCAGATATTTATTCACTAATTTACTTCTGAGAAATCGTTTTTTAGCATGTGCAGTACGCCTGTGTGTAGAATTGGAATTGAAAAACAAATTTCTGCAGTGCTGAAAAATAACCTAAATTTAAAGGGGGAAAAAAGAAGCAATTACTAGAGTTTCATTGTTCCTGTTAAATTTTATGAAAACAAATACATTTTTTAAATTAGATTATCAGAAATTTTGGATGTTAATACTACTGCTGTGAATAATAAAATATTTCGCCATATTCTATTTTAAATTTAACATGAGTAGAAAATAGAACATTATTTTTATTTCAGATATCACCATGCTATGCAAATGGGAGGAATCTTCTACTGTGTGCTTACAGAGATGGCTTCTGTATACCTTTAAACAGATCCAGTTAGATGCATGATTGAATTACTAAGTATAGTTTTATTTTTTTTTCTTTGGTGTCTCAGAATCTATTTTTCCTTTTCCATGCAGTGAATTTGCAGAGCAATTTGAAATCCAGCTGACAGGAGCCACTGGTGGAGCAGTCCTTGGGCTCCACCTAGTGAGCCAGGTCACCATTGCTAAAAGTGACTCCCCCCAGGGCATCGTCCGATTTCTAAACCAAAGTCGAATTATTATTCCCAATCCTGATAGACCCACGACAGTGTCCCTGATGCTGGAAAGGACTGGAAGATTGTTAGGGGAGACACAGGTGGGTCCTGGCTGTCAAAGACTGAATGCTTTCCAGTGACTAGGTCAAAAAGCTCCTGCATTTTCCTTCAAGAGCTTCTTTGTGACTGATTTCTAATAGGATAATTGCAACTTTTTATTAAACATGAATTACATATAGTTGCAGTATAACAGAAAACGTTTTTACCCTTTTAATCTTCTCTTTCTCCTGCTTTCTTTCTTTTCTTATGGTCTTGTGTACTTTGTTTTGAACTAGCTCCATTGAAAATATGGTTAATTTCATGCACCACCAGTAGTTTAATTTAACTCAGTTGCATTACTTCCTGAAGGTGATCATACTTTTCTCAGTAAATTGTTTACTATGAGTTTTCTAGATTTATTTTTTTTTTACTCTGTACAGACCACTGACAAAGTGAAGTTATAAATCTGAACCAAGGTAGACCTTTTGCAGTCTTGGCAAATGACTGGAAGATTGGCAGTAAAGGCCATCAGCTCCTCCTCCTGCCATATAAAAATTACCTTGGTCTTCTTTGACTTTTTCCAGAAGTCATTTGAGAAAACTGGGAAACAATTAAAATGGCCCAAATAATAATTTTGAAGTGCTGAGTGTGACCTCCTCCAAAGCAATCTAATTTGTGGGAAATTTTGAAAATATTATAGCTTTTAATCAGGCTGAAAATGTATGCATCATTTGAGGGCTTAAAAAGTTTTATTGCAGACTTTTAAGAAAATATTTGTCATTTTCTGTCTTGACATCACACTTCACAGGGAATAGTTTTGGTCATCAGTACTCATTTGGGGAGCTTTGCAAAACAAATCATGAAAGGGAGAGAAACAGAAACTGGCCTGTATGTTTCCTGTTATGTGCTAAAGAAATCTCAGTTTCTCTTTTCTATTACTAATACCTAGAATTTCATAAACTGGCATTGTGGTTAACTGACACTTAAAACTTTTCATTTGTAATTTATCATGTTTATTTTTCCAAAGGCTTATATATTTTCCCACATAGAATTAATTATGAATATTTTGTGTTCTGTATTAACAGTAAAGATTTAAACATAGCTAATTGCCAGACACAAGAATTTTTATGTCACTTGTGGTACTCTGTCATTTCTCCCCCAGGAGGCTGTTATAATATATCACCACTCTAAATCTGAAACTGATATCTTCCACAGATTAATTGGGACATCTTGGGACCCAATTCAGAAGAGGTTTTATCTCCCCTGAATAGTGACATTGGTGACCCAGTGAATGGATCGTTCTATTTTGGAGAAGGAGAAGGAGGTCTGAGAGCTATTAATCTACAACTCTATCCTCATGAAGAAGTTGAAGTTCAGGAGATCTTCATTGTTAGACTGAGCCTTATGAAAGGTGAAACAGAAATAGATCCTAAGGCAAGCAACATTACACTAATAGTAAGTCATTATTGCTTTTTCTTCTGAGATCTCTGTTGATATTTTTCCTGCAAAAGAGTTTTAAAAATTAATAACTATTTCATAGTTTGTCACTTGGCTTTTTGGTCCCTTGTGTCAGTAAAAATTGGTATATATAAGCCCTGATCTGGCCCTCTTATTTGCAGCTTTCTGTGCTTCGCTTTGGAGAGAGCATGGATTGGGTCCTTATTTCTAAGTATCAGTTTGTTGTTCATCCCTTCTTGACCTCTTCTGCTCCATCTTTCATATATGAAAGAAAGGACTGAATCTGACTATTGCAGAGCAAGAGAAATGCAGAAATTTGTGGGAGAAGGCAGAGGGAGTTGTCAAAGACAAATCATTACTCTAGGGATACTGCAACTAAGGAAATATTTATAAGACTGTTGTAAGAAGCCTGCAAAAAAATAAATCTTTCCTAGAAACTGGATTTTTATTTTTTTCTGGTCTGTAGAGCATTGACGGAGTTAGCTCCTATTTCCACAGACACCTTAATTTCTTCTTCAGGGACCCAGGTTTATTCCTTGGACTGGAATGATCCACCTTGCATGCCAATGAATTGGCTTCACAGTAGGCCTCTAACCCAGAGGGCTGAGTTTGCAAACTGATAATGTTAGAAGAGTTTCTGTACACTAGCCCAAGGTACCTGAGCATTTCCTGCTTTAATAGCAGAATATTCAGACAGAGCATTTGAAATAAAACTGTCTTTTCCTTCCTTGGATAGTGCTGACAATCTGAAAAGAGGACATTCATACTTTCTCTGCTTTCTCTTAGTATCTTGTATCCATGGGGTATGTTTTCCAAATCCTTTCAAAATTACATTAGTCTCTGAAATGTGTTTAGACCGTTTGTAATTTACAAGTTGTTTAAAGCCCAGTGAGGCTCAACTCAGTTGACAGAATCATTGTCATTGCCTGAATTTGTTTGCGTATAATGCTTTTATTAATTCAAGCCTGAAAACTTTCCATATTTATTGGCAACATAATATTTTGAATCCTATTCAGTTTAGATCCTGCTTAAACTTATTTATGTATCATTGTAGGATTTTCTCACAAAAGAGCAAGTTACCCATAGATTTCATATAACAGTCTTGCTTTGTGTGCATGTGTGTGTTTGTGCGTGTGTGTGCACGTGGGCTTGATATCACTCGCTTCTCATAGCTTTATGGTTTTATTTGCTGAGTTGGTTTTTTTTGATTCTCTCCGTCTTAGTTCTAACTACTAATGTACTATTGAATCTGCTTAAGAGGAGAAAACTTGTTAGGAAGATCTAATAGACATATGTGCCCTGTAGCATCTAGCAATGAAAATCTTAATGATTTAACAAGAATACAAGTCACTCTACATTTCTGATTTTTTATTTGTTTACTTTTTTAAAGATACAGAAGTTTGGTGATCCCAATGGAATTGTACAGTTTGCTCCTGAATCGTTAACTGAGAATAACTATACAGAACCCTTAGCAGTGGAAGGGCCCCAAAGTATTACGCTGTTTATCAGACGAATTCAAGGCACTCTGGGAAACATAACGGTATTCTCACTCTTTTCCTAATAAACACTATAATCTCAAATCATCCTCAGTATCAATGTATGAAGGAATATTTTTTTCTGTGTCTTTCAATTGCTTGTTTCTCAAATTCATTTTTTAAATGTTACCTTTTAGAATGAATTTAGCAAGGGCTCAGCCCTAGTACTTTTGGTTTCGAGAGTCAGATTCAGTCTCCTCTGGTCAGGAAATAAACAGAAAAACAGTACTACAGTGCTTCTCCCTCCTTCTCTCTCCCTCTCCCACTGTGCTTTTGATGGGAGAACAGAACAGAACATACTTACATAGTGAGCTTTCTTTGAGATTATCACAATTTGCTTTTTCCCAGGCACACTTAAAGGTAAGAATCAGACTATTTTGAACCATGACTTATATTGGTTTTTATCTAAAGTTGTTTAGAAGTCAGCATTTTAACAGTTATTTATTTAATTAAAAAATCAATAAAACCATCTGCTGTGTTTCATGAGAACTCTTCACCCCTTTTTGATGTGAGGAAGCTTGGAAAGAGGAAAAACAGCAAGGCTGTCTTGGTGTAAAAATAGAAATAATTTTTTTAAATGGTTCAGAGATTCCATATAGTTTTAAATAAATCTTCTGAAGATATACAAAGGAAATCTTTACATTCATAGTACTGTTAGAGGAAAAACATACCCTCCTTTTGTAAGATAGTCTGTGTGCCTCTTTCTATGCATACCTAAACCAATTTCTATTTTACCTGCTTAAAGCCAATCTGTTCCCTATCCTATCTGTACTGAATCCTGAATATGAAAATTTCTGACTCTGTGAGTAACTTTACTTTCGTTTTGTGCATTTTCTAAACTAATTTCAGGTTTACTGGGAATTACATAGTGAATCTGACATCACAGGTGACTTTCTTAGGACAGAAGGATCTGTTGTCATTGCTGACCAGCAGACTACAGCTGAGATAATTATCTACCTGTTACCTGATGATGTTCCAGAACTGGATGAAAACTATGTGGTGCGGCTGATTTCAGTAGAAGGTGGAGCAGATTTAGACCAAGAGAAAAGTATTTCAAAGATCAATGTTTTTGCAAATGATGATCCCTATGGAGTGTTTGCCCTGTACTCTGATCAGCAGTCAGTATTAGTAGATAGAAACCTGGATCGATATGTTCAGATTAATGTAACTCGGCATGCTGGGGCATTTGGAGAAGTGATCGTTGAGTACCGTATCTTGTCTCATCATGAAGAAGCGCTAATTGCACCTGAGAATGATGTGGGATACCTCACAGTAAACGATGGTGCCAGTTTTGGAGTGAAAAGAGTGCCAATAAGCAGCCAGGTCTGTATTATCCTTTTAGCTCCAATGATATGTCTTGTTTCCATTTGTGTTCATCACAATACAAATGTGCTGGAATAAGATACTAAACTCTCAATAGTATCCACTGTGAAGAAGTATCCACAGAAAAGAGAGTTTTAGCGTTATGAATTTCCTATTTATGGAGTAGAAATGTGTTTAAATATCACATTTTCAGATAATAATTGCAAAATCACTGCTATGCATGTGTTAATATATTCAGTGTTTCCTTCCATCATTGCTTTGTGTTACTATCAGTTCAATATTTTATTATTATATGTATGCAAATATTTTCTCAAGTTTCCCTTTTGGATTGTAAATGGTGATCTGTCAGTGCTGACTCATGAAGCAGCAGATAAATTTACCTTCAGTTCTCTGTGTTCTCTGGTTGTTTGTTGTTATTATTACAGTCTTACATCCACATTTACATCCTTTTACATCTATCTTACATATTTTTAATCCTAAGGATTAAAATCAAGCTGAGGCCCACTGTGTTAGATATAATTTATTAAAATAGCAATAGTTGCTTCACAAAGTCACATTCCAATAAGCTGCTGGTAAATCACATTCACAATATTGACGTTTTAGCTGTATTTCTTTTGAGAAACATAGTCAACAAAACTCTTGTCTTGAAGACTCTGCTTTTTGTATGCAAGTAGAACAAAATATGCAGATTGTTCTGCTACTTAATTCTTTGAACTGGTGGATATAATGTTTTTAGTGGAGTTAAATTTCTACCTTTTTAATTAAACTTTCTCTCTCAAAGGCATTTATTTTACTGGGCTTGAATTTTACGCTGGAACTGATTAATGTAAGCCTGGTTAGGGGACGTGCCAAGGATGTGCCTAAAATATCAGGAAATGCAAAGTCAGCTGTTCTGCTTATTCCTGAGGAAGCTGCCAATTCACAGGTCAGTAGACTGGCTGCAGTGTAACATTTCTACCACAGAAGGAAGGTACACTTCATTACAAAAGATAGCTGCTAGAAGAATTCAATTGGCTCCTTGAAGTTTTCGTCATTGCAACCAATTTAATAACTGACAGACTTTTCCAGTTATTACTTGTACTGTATATTATCTTTTCTCTGATACAGATTCTCATAGAAATGTGTTAATACAGTTTGAAAATATTTCTTCATCTATAAAATGTAAATAGTGTAAATATTATGGTTAATTTATACTTTTGTTTACATGAAATGGAAGTTCTAAGACTTAAAGGAAAATAACTAATTCTGGACAATGTTATTCCTTAAAGTATAGCAGCTCCAAAGTAGATAACAGCATGTGCACAGTATTATGTGCAAAAAGAAATGGAGGTCTTGCTGGGTTTTAATGCAGTTGACAGTATATTTGGCTAATCACTGAGTGGGAAATTTTCCATTTGTCTACCTTGTATGTGAGTGAGAAAAGAGAATTTGCCTATTCTGATATGGTACATGCGCTACAGTTCCCTTTTTGTGTGTCACACAAAGACAATAGCATGCTGAGTTTTCACCTCTTAAATTTTATTGAAGTTTTTATTTAATGATTTTAGTTGTCTTGAAGCACTGTTCTGTCTTTTAATTTGTAATTGAACTTAATTCAAATGTTTTTTTCTGTAAACATTGTTTACACCTGTATATCCATTCATCATTGCTTTTAGAATGTGCAAATTATCTTTTCAGTCCCATTTGCTGCTCAAAGAAAAGTAGATCATACTAGCAGAAACAATTTTGTGAACAAAGTAATGTGGCAACAACTTACTTTTCGCTGGATACACAATTAATAATTTATTTTAGACCTATGTGTATGTATATAGTACTACAGCTATTACCTGTGAATATTAACAGCTGGTTGGTTCGTTTTTCTTTTAAACAACAGACACAGAATGCTGTATTCAGTGTTTTCAGTACTGAAATGTCAGTCATACTGGTTCCTTTTCCCTGAGATCTAATTCTCAGAAATCTAAGATTTAAAAGTATTGTTAAAGAGTTGTGAAGGAAGTATGTATATATATACACACACACATATGTATATACACATACATACACCTATATGCATGCATAATTATTAAAATGCCTATTTTACAAAATATGGTACACTTTCACATATGTTATTGCCCATTTTTATTCCATTTTCTATAACAAAATCTACTATGTTTCCACAGGTTGGCTTTGACTCTGTGATTTTACGACTTACAGACATTGTAGCAGGGACAGGCCAGGCTGTGATAACCAGAAAAGGAGTTTATGGCTCTGTAATAGTTAACTGGAGTTCAGGATATCCACCAGACCTAATCACTGACTTTGCTCGGCCAGGCAATATTACTCCTCCATTTGGTAAGTACTTGTCTGAGGAAACAGCTATGAAAGTTGCATAAGTGATGATACCACTTTTTAGTTGTTTGTACCTCTACATGCTTCCTCTATTAATGAAAAGTTATTAGAATGAAATTGTATGGTCTAATTTTTATCTGTAAGGGATATTTTTATTTTATGAGCAAAAAAAGAACTAAGCTTCATAAATACGTGTCTGGGAGGTAGGCACAATGCTATGCCCCTGAAGGACAGCTTTATATAGGAAAGACCCTTGTCATGCAGATTTCTTCTTCCTAAATGGAGTGGAATTGTGATTAAAGTCCCTATCTCAGCATGTTCCCAGGTAAAAAGAGGATTCCTATTTAGTGATTTTGACTTGTGCTCTCTCTCACTCTCTCTTTTCCATCAGGTACTGTTATATTTTCCTCTGGTGAGCAAAGTAAAGTGATTTCATTTCAGGCTACTCCAAGCCTAAATAAACATGAGTCATTTGCCATCACTTTAACAGCAGTGCACAGCAATGTGTCTGGTGGGGCTCGCCTGAGGTAAGGATATTACTTATACTTTAGAGTCACACAGATGCTGTAAGAATTATGACCTGTGTACAGGCATACACCTTGTACAAATCCCTATTAAGTTGTAGGTCACTAGCAAGTTGTAGTGCCTAAATTTGTGTGTCTTGTCTCAGGTGGAAACAAGTTTCAATACTGCAGATCTGACCTGATTAGAACTGAGGCTTTTCTCCAATTCCAGTCTGTTTCATATCACTGGGATCCAAGGCACCTAGAATGTGTCTAGAATGATAAAGACAGTTAAGAAAATGAAGAACCAAGATCAACACTTCTAGTCAGGAAGCTGAAGAATGAAAGCCACTCTAACAGTTTTCATTAGTGTCTCTAAAAATCCATATTCAGAAGATCTTAGATAATAAACATTATTTAAAATAAATAAAATGAAACAAGAAATGCTCAAAAATACCTAATTTATATAAAAAAACCCTTTTATTCTTAAAAACAAAAACATTTAAGGTAATTTTCCATCTCATCTAAGTTGTTATCTGTTCTTCAAACTATTTTCTTTTCATTCTTCCTTACACATTGATAGCTAAAAGTCCTGCAAAAAGAATGGACATAGAGTAACACTGCATATGGAGAAAGGTATTGGCTTCACCGTGTTACAATTACATTGGCAAATCTGAAGGAAGTAAAGAATCAACTGGATGGCTAAACTCCTGAGACTGACTCTTTCTCCTAGGCTTGTTTGTCCTGTGGACTGGTGTCCTCAGAGCACCTATTTGCCGTGTGAGTCAAATACCTTGAGTATACGAGGATGACCTTTCCTAGAAAACTTAAGACTACATCCCACAGGGGGTGAAGCTGACAATTACTTTGGAGAGTTTTTGACTTCCTTAGACAAGGAAAAGTTCTACTTTGTTAACCTAAATCTCTCACTGTAATTGTACTGCCATTTGGTGGCCTCTAGCACTGAATAATGGGTCAGTTCTAGAGAGAAGTGTAAGACCCAAGGTTTAGCAGAGTCTTGGTCTCTATGCTTATTTTCTAATAAGAAGGGGATATATTTAATATGAACATAGTAGAGCTTAAATTGATATTGATAATAGGGATATTGATAATAGGAAACAATTCCTGTGAGTAATGTTGTGAGGGGACAGTTAGCATTTCAAAGCCCCAGTGTAAGTTTTAAAATAATTTCCTTTCCTTCTCTAGCTTCCTGGCTAAAACTGTAGATCTGCTAGCATCCGTCTACTCCAGTTTTCCCTTGGTACAGGAAGTTTGTTGGACGGTTAAAACTGGTATTACTCAGAGTGACTGTATTGTAATATATCTCCCTGCACTGTGTCCACAGTAGGAAGACATCATACTTTCCTTTGCATCTTCATTTGCTCAGGAAGACCTTATTTTATTTATCCTTTACTCTGTATCCTGTGCGGACTCAGTAAGCATTAAACCTGTTCAATCCAGTCATTGCAAAAACATTTTTCAGGGAAGCTCTTTACATCTTTCCTTGTATGGTTGCTATTTCTTCCCCCTACTCTTATGCATTTTTTTTTACCCACTTTCTTGAAGCTGTCATTGACTGTTCACTGGAAATTATGCTGCTTGGGTGTTTTACTTTTCATATTTCGTACTTCCTCACTCAGCTTTGATACCTTTTCTGTTTCAGGTCAGGATTTACGATAGCTGAAGTTGAGCCAATGGGGATCTTCCAGTTTGCTCTTAACTCAAGATCTGTTTCTGTTGAAGAAGATGTTCAGGCAGTCACATTACATGTGCAAAGATTATTTGGTTTTCAAAGTAATCTCACTAAATTAACATATCAGACCATTCCAGGAAGTGCCAAACCACTAGAGGACTTTATACCCATTGACAATGGAGAGCTTATGTTTTTATATTTTCAGACAAACGCTGTGATAGAAATACCAATAATTGATGACACTGTGTCTGAAATGGAGGAATTTTTTTTTGTAAATTTGACTGCTGTGGAAATTTTGGATGTTCAGTCTGTGAATCCTGACTGGAGTCCACGTTTGAATCCAGCTTTCAGTGTTGCAACAGTTAATATCCTGGCTAATGATATTCTTCATGGAATACTAAGTTTGGGACCGGAGTTAGTTTATGTTGAAGAAGATGCAAACAACAGTACCCCCAACACAGTGATACTTCATATCAGAAGGACCAAGGGTTTTACTGGTGATATTGAAGTAACTGTTAAAACCTTTGGGGGAGTGAGTGCACAGAGTGGAGTAGATTCATATCCTTTTGGAAACGTTTATAGAAAATCAAACTTCACATGGGCAATGGAAGGAGAAGATTTTGAGGAAAAGTCAGTATCTCTGACTTTGCTGGATGGAGAAAGAGAAAGCAAGATGTCCATAAAAATATTTGATGATGATGAGCCTGAAGGACAGGAGTTGTTTTATGTTTTCCTCTCAGATCCTCAATGTGGAGCTCAGATTGTGGAAGGAAAGGATGAATATGGATTTTCTGCTTTTGCAACAGTAATTATTGCAGGTAATATTTTTTTCCCCCAGAAAATTAGTAAATACATCTGAATTAAATAACAGTAAATAAATGTATGTTCTCATAGCAATTTTCATGTAAAGATTTGAATTCTATTTGATATTAAGCAGGGTACTCTATTTCCAAATCTCGAGTTTTCCAGATCAGAGGAAGCATCTAATGCATCAAGCCCACCATGCATCCCTTAGCAATGTAGCTCAAAATACATTTAGAGTTGTTGCTTATCTCTGTTCTTGTCCCATTTTACTTCATGAAGAGAAAGCCTAAGTTTGAGTTTTTTTCTTTCATGTGTTAGTAGCATTGCAGGCTTTTTTGTTTTTCTTGGCCATTTTGTCACTTTTACATTGTATGGGGTTTGTACAAAGTATAAAAACAGTTTCTGTTTTCGTTCCTTGATACTATGCAATTCATATCTGCAGTTTAGTCATCCTCTGCTTCTGGGGAGGGAGGATAGGAATGGGCTTATATAGACATCAGGGAAGAATTTTTCTTTCAGTCACCCCACACTACTGTGAGAAACTGAGCTCCAATTTCCCTTAGCTTTTAGGTATCTATCAGACTCACCAATTGAATATAAACCAAGTTTAACTGCAATATAGATTAAGTTTTAGAAACAAGTTGGGAACTGGAACAGGTCAGGCTAATCAAGAAAATTATATGTAAGGCCCAACATTTACTGGAAGTTTTGTGTATTTAGATAGTTCTAACAATACAAAGTATGTATTGGGAATGAGGATTAAACTGTGCTGTTGAATGAGTGTATGCAGCAACCTAAATTATGTATGCAAGAACACATCATATAAAACACGTTCCCTTCATGTGCGCCATCACTAGAATTCACTGTGCAAGTAACCGGTGGCCCATGTGTGCAGGTTAACCGAAGAACTATGTGCACAGGCACAGGCTGGAATTTGAACTTGTATTGAATCCCACAGAAATGTAGTAACATGTTCTAGAGTTACACCCTGAGTACAATAAGTACATAAAGTAAAATCAGGAGACAGCTTATGTTAAAAGTCAAAGCATGTATCTGCATTTAACTGTATATATAGAAAGATACCACAGGTTAAATGCTTGTGCATGCGCATAAGCAAACGTGCAGTTTCTGTTAATCTTCAGTATATATATTGACATTTAATAAGCATTGTGTTGGAAATAGATTGCCTTTTCAATTGGAGAGTAAAGCCATCGCTATGTGTATGGAGAAATCCTTCAGAAGCAAGATTTAATGGGACACTGTGAAGACATTACTTTCCCCTCATTAACCCTGTTTTTTTTTCCTCCACTGCTGTTTTGTGGAAGTTATTTACATTCCCATGAGAACAGTGCAGTATTTTGCAGCTCCCTACTTCCACACACTGAATTAGACATGCAGGAGAAAAGCTGATGTAACACCTTGGGAAAATAAATGGGTCCAGCAACATTGTAGGTGGGATGAATAAAAAAGGTAAAGTTATGTCCTTGGAAGCCCATCTTATCCCATAACCTACTACGGCAATGCTGTCCATCTAGGGGCACACTGAGGCCCATTTCTGTTTAGAAAGAATATGTTTTAAGGGTTATGGTGAACATAAAATAATATAGCTGAAGTGATATCTCATCAGGGCATTATAAGCAAGGCTTTTGACACTGTTCTGGACTACTCTAACACCAAGTCTCTTGAGGTCGAGGGACACAGAACTCAGTCAGTTTGCTGAATGCTGCTGAAAATACAAGCTTATGCACATGGATGGTGCCAGGACTCTCATAAGGAATTTACTTTCAAAAAACTTATTCTACTGGTTAAAATAAAATTTAGAAATGCCAACATTTGAAGTTCTAGATAAGTATGGAGTGTAAATTAAGAATAGAAATATTAAAAGAATTTTTCTTGAGGCATCTTCAAGTGGTACTTTGCAGCATGCTTTTGATGACTAGTTCTTATTTTTCTAGCAGCTTTCCATATTAAAAGTATAATTTAGTCTCAGCCTAACTTTCCTGCTAATTACTTTCACGGACTGTTTCCTGTATAGGAAGTGATCTCCAGAATGGCATTTTCGGATTCATTCCAGAAGTACAAAGCGGTCTTGTACTTGATGAAGACTCAGAAAACAGAGAGGTGCTGCTGATTGTTGCAAGGCAACCAAACAGGTGCAGGCAACAGCTGATTCAAGTGCTCTTCTCGTACACTGTAATATGCCGTGTTGAATCACATAAGCTGCTGTTAGTGCAAGAGATTATCATAGAGTTTTATAATAAATCTTTGCCTTTCAGCTCCTTTAATAACTTCACAGAATTTGGCAAATGGGCTTGTAAGTTGTCAATGTGATTAGGTCTGTCACTGTACTGTTATAAAACAGAAATGGAAAAAACAAATATTTCCCAACTTATACCATAAGGCAGCAAGTGTGAAATTTTTGCTTAAGGTATTTACACTGCTAAAGGTGTAATTCAAATTCTCATGTCCCTGTGTAATATAAGTAGGTGTGAATACTAAAATGAGAAATTAAGAAGATACCTAAGTGTCAACTCTGTTTATGTCTTCACTGATGCAGATACTGTGTTTTTACTAATTAACACATACATACATTGTGCATTTATGTGTACTTTAAACAAATATGCTCAAGCACTCAAAGTTCCATAAACTTATAGGAAATCCAAATTCTGCCTGCCTTTCCAGGCAAATGGTTACTATAGTATTAAGGCAAGTACTTGGGCACATCCCTGTCTTCCAAGTACCAGTGTCTCTTATTCACCTAATCTTATATTTTCTGAAACAAATTGAGTAGAATCTAGGTGCCCATAATTGCTTTATTTTCTTCCTGTGTTACTTTTTAGTAATCTAAACAGGTTTTAGAGGAAGGAATTTAAGTAAAAAGAGATAATTTTTCATCTTAAGTCAGTTGGTTCCCTAGTGATAAGTTTTGAATATTAACAAAAAACGTTACCTCTGTGGTTTATGCTTCCTAAAGCAATAGTGCTCTCCTTCAGTACATGTATATTCTTTTGATTTGCTTATAGGGCTTTTGAAGATGTGAAGATATTTTGGCGTGTGACCTTTAATAAAACAGCTGTTGTCCTTCTGAAGGATGGCATGAACTTAGAAAACGAACTTGTATCTGTGCTGGGAGCCACTACCTGCATGGCAGGTCAAACAATATGCAACATCTCCATTGAAATAAAACCTGATAATGTAAGTAATTATTGCTCAGTTATGTACAGCACTATGATGTTGAATTGCAGTTTATCAAGATGAAAAAACCTCTCTGATCGAGAGTAAGTGATGCATAGGACACAATTTGAAGATGGTAACTTGATAGCTGCTCAGTTACTCTGCAAACACATGTTTATTTACAGGCTTGTACTACTTCCATTGTGACTGGTAAAAATTCATGAAGGAGATGAGTAGTTTGAAGAGTAAATTGCAGATCTCAGATTTTTATAGAACAATAAGGAAAAAAGAATGGGGTTATTTCAGTGAGATGCATATACATATACTGGACTCTTATCCTTAACATTGTAAATTTTTCATCTATCAAAGCCCTTCTTAGGGTGGTTTATGGAAACCATACCCTGTAAGTAATAACATCTCATTCAACAAAAAAACTTTTATTGCAACTTGTGCATAATTTTACATGCCTAAATCTAGCACAATGATCTGTGAAAACTCTACTCAATCATAAAGCCGCATAAGAATTTCTGAGTGTCTAAAAATCTGTTGCTGTGCACATCCAGCTTGTGAGTAGTGAAGTTCAATTTAGCAGCCATCATCCACTAAAGCCATTTCACATTTGTCAGTTAGGTATGCCTAAGAGCCTTGAGAGGCCCAGCTGGCACTCAAAAATGAAGATGTCATTGAATTAACACAAAGCACAACATTCAGTCATTTGTCTTGAAAAGAGAAGGAAAAAATAATTTGTGTGAGCACCTAGTGGTTAGAGTAGTCACTTAAGAAAGGAAGCATTAATGTTTGTCATTCTTTCAGAGTAGAGAGTTTGAAACTTTCCAAGGAGTTATCCTAACAGCCAGGCTGGTGGCAAAGCTGAGGCCTGGGGAATGGAAAAGATCAAAATGAGAAGGTTTCCATGTTTTTTCTGACTACATTTTAGACAATAATGCAAGATGTAGGATGTGGGAAATAGTGATTTCCCACTAGGGAACAGAGTGCATTCTCTTAGTTCAGTAAGATGGCCATTTTCCTTCTTCATCTTCAGATGTTTTTACATTACAGACCCAATGAATAAAATATATACATGAGTGGGGCACAGGCTGCCTTGCTGAATAAACCGGGATTTTGAACCTGTTTAGTCCACAGGAGTGATATCATTATTTAATGACAGCAGTGCAGCAGCTGCAGAGACATGCAGTTGTACCACATGAAGCACAAGCGTGTGCCACTCTAACAGGTGCTAATAGAAGCCTAAAGTTCCCTATAGCATTCCAGTGAATTTGTGCCTGTCATAAATTAATCAAGATCATTCCCTTTAAAGAATTACTTAACAACAACTCAAAAATATATGCTATTTAGCCCCCCAAATTTTTCCTAATATCTTCTTCCATAAGATAGCTTATAAACTAGCAACAAATACCTTATGAAATGATGAAGTTATAAATACATTCAATAAATATTTTACATTTTTATGGCATATGGTATGACATATTCTAGCTTTTGGAAGTTTTTACTTAGTCAGCTATACTGACTTTATTAGCTAACAGCTGAATCCTGCTTTCCTAGAATTTCCAAAAATACAGAGCTGAAACAAAAAGCTATGTTTACTAAAAAATTGTCTTCAATTATCTTGGTTTTTTTGTAATGCTATTGTCTTGTAAAGAACTAATTTTTTGTAAGTTTGCTGATTCACAAGTGCATGTAATAGGTACAAATAACATTTTCTTTCTTTTTCTAGAATCTTAGTAATCAGATGTCTATTTCTAAACATGTTACGTTTATATTGTATGTACAAAATCAAAGATGAGGCAGCATGTCATATTGTAATTTAATATTGCTACCTTATTTTCAGTAAACAAGCATTAAGAATATAAGAATTGACTACGCTAATTCTTTGACATATGAACACTAAAATTCAATAGCCTGTTTTTCCAGATTGACAGATTTCTCTGTGTCTTAACCTCACAAAATTCTATGAGATAGTGTCTCTAAGCTTTGGGATTTTCAATAATTTCAGTTAAGTGTTCAAGTCTACTGAGATGTACTTGTAAAAACTTGCATAAACAAGTTAGTGTTTAAACACTAAGGCTGTATGTAAAATATTGTTCAGAACTTTACCAGAGTTCAATACTTGCATAAAGTCAAGTTAATTAATTATAGTTTCAAAACTGGATACATAGACTTTTATGCAGTTTTTCCACAGGTGAGTAGGTGTGTTTATGCCTGTTTGTAAGGCAAAAAGAAAATGAAAGAGCAAATTCCTCACAAGCTGTACATCTATGTAAATCCATAGTCTGGAATATGGAGCTCTTGGAGAGTTTACTGTCATGTATTATGGCAAATTTACAGCCACAGTACATGTAGTATATAAATAGCTATTTTATTGCAACAAGTTCCATGAGAAAAACTGAGATTTCATTATTGTACATGACAGAGTGGTGCCTGTTGCAATATTGTTGTTAGGATATACTTCACTGTACTTATTGCACATTTCAGGAAGCAGGCTTGTGGTAAGTGTTAGTACAGGTAATCCATTACGCATACAAAATAATACATACATTTTTAAAAGCTGAAACTAATTAGTAGATCTTATAATGATATGAAAATCATCCCTCATTTGCAGGTACCTGAATTTGAAACATACTTTTTTGTTGAGCTGTATGCTGTAAGCACAGGAGCTGCATTGAACAGCAGTGCCAGATTTGCTTTTATAACAGTCCTTGAAAGTGATGCTCCTCGTGGCTTAGTATATTTTGCTGTGGGATCTCGTTTTGCTGTGGCTCACAGGAAGACAACTTTAATCAGTTTGCAAGTGCTTAGAGATTCTAGTACATCAGTAACCACAATGGTTAGCTACAACTTGCAGGTAAGACTTTTATTATTATTTTGATTATTTAACTTACATTTAGTGTTATTTTTATCATTGAATCATTGTTCATTCTCTAAAGTAAATGTGACTGTGCTTAGCATTTTTTCAGGAAACAGTCAAACATTTGCTGGGCCCATATGGTCTAGCTTCTTTGGTTTTCTGTTAGTAAAAAGACCTTGTCTTCATTGCATTGTCAAGAGTGATTTTGTTCATAGTACCTCCCAGTAACCTCAAAGACTATGGTCAGTCAGGCATTAAATATATTTCTTTCTTTGTTCTAAGGTTGTTATGAGACTCCAATTTTTGAGATTTCTTTCTCTGAAATTAAGCTTTTATCCTGATGGGTATGACTACAAGATTCAGATACCAACAAACTTGCTGCGTTAGGTCACAACTTTATTAATACACAGAGCACACTAAGGAAAAGAGAGAGAGAAGTTTCATCAAATTTTATTCTATGATGTTCTTGAAGTACTAAACTTGAAAATTGTTCCTCTGATTGAAAATCTCGTGCTGTAGTCAATTTTATCATCCCCATTCATTTTTGTTATGTTTACAGCTGTAACACCAGACCCTTCTAACTGTTGACTCTTTTATCTCTAAATGAGTACCTCATTATTATTGACAGATGATGAAGATTCTCCTTTAGCAGAAGTAACACAGCTGCAAAAACATGATTCCCTCCACTTCCTTATAGTTGTGCCTCCAACATCAGGGCACAGGCTGCAAGAGGGATTCCTTTAAGTTTGCCATCACGTTGGAACAGTGCTTAGTCTGATCTACCTTGAATATGCGGGATTTTATACCTAAAAGCATTATTTTGGGGGAGGGCTATTATAACAAGGCATTGTGTGACCAATGTACTTCCATCACCCTTTATTATAAAAGGCTTTTCATTCTATTGTTATATTGCATGCATATGTATTTTAATTTCATAGGATTACGTGGTGTTTCCATGCATTTATTATACAGTAGCTGGCCAGTGTTTTAGTTAGATTGTATGGTAACAAATTTTCACATTCTTTCCAGCCAAGAGTTCATTATAATTTAGATGTTAAATGGAGAAGAAATTGCTACGATCCAGTGTATATTTAGGCTAAAATATAGGGGGCAATTCCTTATCCATTTGTATTTTTTATATAACAACCCTTTGGACATTTTTAGGTTTTGAGGTTGCATGGCCAAGTACCAAAGTATTGGTACTCTTGGTACCCGTAAAATAAGAAATCACGGCAGACAGGAAGCATGAGGTGCTAACTGGAAACAGATGTTTCTCATTCCTACAAAGGTTTCTTAAACATTGTTATTGTCACTAGTGCTTTTATTACCACTTATTTCCCTGTTTCCTAATTCTCAATTGGAAGGGATAAACAAAAGGAAACTTCTCAATGGAATTTGCACAGATGATATGATCATGTTCTAGAGCAATTCTGAACAGATACACGCTACACTGATTTACAACATTCTCCTGCAAATTCAAAAAATGTCTAATTTATTCCATAAGTAAACTTTATTAGTTAAAGCTAAATGTTTTCAAAAGGGGTCTAGTATTTCACAAATAAAAATCCTTGTTTTTTACAGTGGGAGACCTTTTTAAGATTACTTAAGAGTCAGTATACAATCTGTACTTATTAAATGAAGAGATACTATTGAAAAATCATACATTTGAATAATAGCTCAGAATGTTAGTTTCCACTTAAGGAAAGTTTATTATATTTATTATAATATCAAGGTTATGGCAACTGACAAAAAGAGCAAGAATGTGAAGAATGAAACAGTATCTGCAAACCTCATGGAAGGTAAAAATAGTGCTGCTTCACAGGGAAATGAGGCCATATAGCATTCCTAGATAAGTTCATCTGTCTGCCTTGCATGTGTATTCTATAGTGTTTGCTTTGCCTTTGGACCTAAATGGATTGGTTTTTTAAGTATTTGTACTGGGACTGAAAATATCATGAATTGATATTAGTTTGGGCACAGACTTCTAAAACCTTTGCTTGGCTTTTGTTTAGTTTTTATGTATCTGTAATTCCTGCCTGTACCCTGAATTGAGGGACTTCATGCTGCAGACATAAACTTACATCAGCCCCTCTGGAATTCACCCTACAAACGTGCTAACATTTCTGTAATACCTATTCACCCAGAAAAGCTTTGTGAATTTTTTTTCTGGAAAAGAGAGGGATCCTGGTCACTACTGACAATATATATAATTCTTCCCCTAAGTTGTCACTAACCACAAGTGACAGATTGCTATTTCAGGGAGATATTTCATTTTATGTAACTGTTATATCATTCTTAACTGCATTTTGAAAAGGGACTTCTTTTTTACACATTTAAATTTTACCTATTTAAAATATGTGTGTTCTACAGCAACTGGTTTTGAACAATTGTATCTATCATAATGTTACCTAAAACTCTTTTGGTTTGTTTTAAGGAGCTACAAAAACCTGAACCTATTGGTCGAACCTTCATATTTCCAGCTGTGGCAGGACAAGATTTTGCCAGATCTGAAGGTTTATTGACTTTTGAACCTGGACAGAGAAATACATTTCTGGATGTGACCCTGACTCCAAAGACAGGATCTTTAAACCCATTTCCTAAACGTTTCCAGGTTGTAGTTTCTAATCCCACAGGCGGTGCCAGAGTAGATGACATGTATGGTATTGCTAATGTCACCATTGTCTCAGATTTGGAATCCTTGCCAGTTTGGGGGCTGATTGATCAACTGCATCAGCCTCTTGATGACACCATTTTACTCAGAGTCCTCCAGAATCTGAATATCAAAGTGGCTATGGAAAACACAGAAGAGCAGCTTACTGCTGTGATGCATATAATAGATAAGGTAAACCTTTTCTGCTCTTTCTTGAATGACCAATGACTTTAGTAAGAGTATAATAACACGTAGGCCTGTGATAAGATCAAGGTTAGCACACACAGCAGTGACTCAGGTGCACAGACTGCAAAGGTAAGAATGGAAATTGTGAAGTCCTACAATCAAGGAAGAAGTTTGTCTGCCACTATTTAGGTTAGTAGCAGAAAATCAAAATCAAATAGGTTGAAAAGAGCAACCAGTATTAATTTTGCATATGTACCTATAGCTCAAGACTTTCTGCTGTGCAAAATTTTCCCTATGGTGCCATACTTTCTTAGGGCTTATTATGGTTTCGTGATTCTCAGGCCACATCTTTGTGGTTTCAGCCCTGGCATAAGAGCGTAAGGCCCAAGGTTTACTCATATCTTCACAGCTAACTGCAGTCAGCACACAAGCAAGTCATACCAGAGCCAGCTGGAGTCTGCTGTACTCTTAACCAGGCACGCAGCTTGTCTTTTTTCCTGCATTAGCTTTGGGAATCGGGTTGGCAGGAAGGCTTAGCATTTTAGCGTTCCACTAAGTTCTGTGAAAACTCTGGGACTAGTTTTATGGCTTTCTGGCTCTGCTGGACTTGTGGACTAATGCACAGGAGCTGGAAAATATTTAAATACCTAGACACAAAGCTGTATAACAATATTCATGAACAACAATTCATTTGTGATTGTTGCCATTTTGACACAGAAAACAGAGAAAATAATGTCAAAAAATCTCAGGGCTCAACAATCTTTGATTTGTGAAAGAATAAAAAATGCCACATAATTTCTTTAATAATCAAATCCTTATTAGTTAGCATATCTTTATGTAGTTTTGACATAGACTGCACCTCATGCCTTGGCAGCGGTGATTGGAAGGTGGAAAAAATATTCTGAACCTTCAGAATGAACATTGGGATAAAATGTTCATTTTATGAGGAAATGTAATAAGCAGACTTCTGTGCATAAAATGCTGTTTGATTTCTTCTCCTCTCATTAGGTTGCAGATGTAGGTGAAAAACAGTTACTCACTGATAAAAGTAGAAGTCTTTTCTATGAGATACTCTGTGCTCTGGCTAGCCCAAAACGCGAGGACACACGAGGATATAGTGTGCTTGCTGAGGTCACCGAGAAGTTTGCTTTTTCCCTGTTGACTGGGATAATGTGTGGATCACCAGGAGAAAGGTTAGTAAACTTGAATTCATAATATGTTTTGGAAATACATGACAACTTATCAATATAGTAAAAATTTAAATGACATTTTGAGAAAGAGGGACTTGTCTAACATCTAATATGTTGCATATATGAAAATGTGTTGCACTGTCACAATCTTATAAAGCACTATCTTGGCACTATGAGCTGGTGTCACAAATAACTGGTACATGGATACGGGGTAGCTGTGGGAGTAGGAGTCAGGAGATCTGGCATGTATTAATTCACATTTAGCTCAAATACTGCCTGGAAAAGGATTCATTAATCTTACTAAAAAAAATAATATGTAATTGTATGATGGAGAGCAATGTTCTAAGACTTAGAGAGTAAGAAACCCAAAATTTCTACTTGAATAGTATTCAAAAAATTGTAAAAGCTACTCATAGTTTTTAGATGTAGTTTCAAATTGCTAGTTTTGTCTGCAAGTGCATTATACCCTGTGGTCGGGCTAATAGGCAGGGGAAATAGGTGACCACAGAAATAGATGACATGCTTTTATGAGACAGACGATTTTAAACAGTGGGTTTCTCCCACTGTGAGTCTATTAAGCAACTGGTAGATGAATTTAGAAAAAAAACCAAACTTGTTTTTCCCTCAGAAAATCAGCATGGTTTAGATTTCTGTCTCACTTCTTTTGGAGATGTAACTTTTCTTGTCATTTCCTAAGTCGCAGGGGGTATGAAGCCCATCTCAGCCAAAAGACAGCAAATAGCGTATCAGCACTAACCTGAACAGCATCCAGAACTTGAAAGTTCAAATTGTTTATTCCAAGTTTTTTTGCATTGTCTGTTGAGAATAAGAGGTAAAACAAGATCATCCATTTTAATGCCTCTCCTTCTTGTAGAGTCATCTCTACATCAAGTTATACAGATGAGTATTATGATAACCTAGTTTACCACGGAGGGGTTTTGGTTGCAGAGAGCAAAACCCAGAGGGGAAATGGAGAAGCTGAAGTATACAATAATTCACCCCCTCTTTTTCCACAGAAACTGAAACTGTCTGTTTGTTAAATGTCATAAAGCCTAAAAATGATGGAGCAGTAAAGTATTAATTACAAATACACCTTAGAGTCATTCTGTGAAGAACAGCGAAAGCTCAGTTCCACTTACCAGCCCTATTGCTTTTCCATTTCAACAGAGGTAAAAATATCCTTGACAGCTGCCCATACATTTCAATAATGGCTCACAAGTGGTTTCCTCAGCAAATCAATGGACACAGATTTGATGGAAAAGATGGGGATTCTATTCAAGTACCTGAACATTTACTAGAGGTCTCTGTTGTATTATCACCTCCTCAAGAAGAGAGCTGTGAATCTGTACAGTTCACAGAATACAGCAGTCAGCAGTGGTTCCTTACTGGAGATAAAGAACTTGCCCTGAAGAACAAGGTTTGAAGATAATACAATTTATTTTTTCAAGAAATTAGTTTAATTTAGATATTGCTCAAAACATCTTAAATGTATTTAACATAATGTGAACATTTTTGTGTGTGGCTCTGATTAAAATGAGCACTGACTGTTGAATTTTACCATTAAATTTGTGTTTACTTTGTATGTGTTGTTTCAGGTTTTTTCTATGAGTTTGAAGGGTTGGAGGTCACACCCTTTGAAAGATAGCAATGAAGTAATTTATCGGATTTATGCTACAGGAAATCGAATTCTTCCACAAAAGTCTCTATGTCTCCTCTGGAATCAAGCGGCTGAAAGGTTATTTTATTAATCTGTTTAGTTTTCCAGTTTCTACTGTGCACCTGTGTGTTTGTCTAAGATGTGATAACTCCGATGACGTCATTTGCAAGTATAAAATTGATCCATTTCCTATCTGTCTTTTTTCCATAACTTTTCTGGCCTTTGTACCAGCACATAAAAATTTCCATATAATAAAATGTGTAGTTATTTTAGCTGAGACATTTCTCAGACTTCTACTCTTGACTTTTTTCACCAAAATAACATTTAGATTATGTAATGATGTATTAGGCAACACTGACAGGCCATAAATCCCAGAGTTGCATCTCTTCATTAATATTAATGACTTTGTACTCTTTACAATTGTTATCAAACAACACTTCAAGTCCATTCTTACAAAAGAAAAAATTAAACCTGCATCTCTGGTATTGCTTCACTGTTCCTAATTTGCTAATATCCATTCTTTTCTTTGGGTCTGTGAAAGACACTGTGTAAGTGAACCAAAAACCTGGTGAGAACCAGACTAGAGATTTATCTAGATCAGTATCCTGTCTCCAGTAGTGGCTAAAAGTGGCCCAGGGAAGAGTAAGATCAGGACAAGCATAAATAGTAATTCCCCTAATACTGTACTCTCCAGTGACTCTATGAGCTAATTCCATACCCCAAATGATTTGTCTACCACAAATTTGTCTAGTCTTTCCTTGTACCATCCAGAATTTTAACACATCTTTTGACAATGATTTCTATAGGGCTATTTCTTTTTGACAGAAAAGCCATCTCCTGTTGTTTTTTTTTAATATTGCTGCTACTAGCTTAAGTTGATGTCTCCTGGTTTTTAGAAGAAATGGTGAACTGCTGATCATTTTCCATTGTTGTTGCTACTCATACCATTGCAAACCATGGAATAAAGTTTTCTGTGTATGCTCTTCAATGCCCCATTATTTGATTAGCCTGTGTCTTTCCTGTTCACAAAGTATAAATTAATTTGAAGAGAATTATGTTCTGTATCCTGCTGAGATCTAGTTGGTTTAGATATGATTTCATTAGACTGACTAGATTATATCAGTCTGTCACTGATATAAACTATTTCTCTTCAGAAAGGAGATGCAGCAGAATTTACCTGTATGCTCTCTTTTTATGTAGACTTTATATCACAGAGCAGATGTGATTTCCACTAGAAATGGCTTAGGACGTCACCTGTCCTTTTTCAAAATGAGTTCAGCAATACTGAAATAAAACACAAAATGAATTTTAGTTTCAAAACAACAAATAGTCGTATAAAATGAAGTGTTCTCCGCAATGGGGTAAGGTATTGTGCAAGTTAAGTAACAAGCTATTTGAAAAGTCAGACCGACCTGTAAATCTTGCAGAAGTTTTAAAAACATGGACACAAAAAATTCTCTAGTGGAAAAAAATGTTCATTATCATATATTTACAGATTTTTTAATCATAAAAGTAAAAAAAGCTATAAACAATATTTTAATTTCATGTATATATGCTATTCTGAGAACTGCACCTGAAAGATTACACAAAACACCTATGCGGTAGTTTAGAAAACTTGGTATTTCAGAGATACAACAACAATTTTCAAGCCTGCTTACCATATAAATTACAGAAGTCCATTTCCAACTTTGTGAATCTTTTGGTTTGCAGCTGGCTGTCAGATAGCGAGTTCTGCAAAGTGGTGGATGACACGTCAGACTATGTGGAATGCTCTTGTTCTCATATGTCCATTTATGCAGTTTATGCCCAAACAGATAACTTGTCTTCATACAATGAAGCTTTTTTCTCTTCTGGATTCATCTGCATTTCAGGTCAGTTGATTTAACACAGTTTTCTCATTAATAACAACTGACGACCAGTAAGACTAATTGATTTTTAATGATTTTAGTAATTGATGACAATCTTTTGATTTGGAGGGGTATTGGAGGAATGTTAATGAACTTCATGGTATTAAAGTTGCCATCTGGTCTGATATTTGCACACTGACAAATTTGGCACTGAGAAAAAGTCCAGCAAAGAAATATATGTCCTTATGGTGTTTTATTGAACCATACAAAAGAGAAATCTATCATTCATTTGGGGGAAGAAACTTGAAAATCCTAAATTCACCTGTGTCTCTAGCAGCAGTACAGTTGTCCTCTTTGTCAAATTTTTCAGACACGTTTCTACCTAGCCTGAAAGTTCTTTGACGATTTTAGTTGACAATTTACACTCAGAAGTGATAACTTGAGGAAGATAGATTCCATATCACATGTGTAGAGCTCCATTACACTCTGCTGCCTAACTGCTGCCTAACATCTTGGGAGAAGCCCAAGAGTTTAACCTGTGAGGATCATGACTCACTTCATTGACAGCTATGATAGCATTTGCAGAAGTTCCAAAATGTCAGACAGGAAGTAGGAGATCTAAGTTTTAAACTCCGCTTGGCTTCTGAAGGAGATGGAAAGTGTACCTTCCACACTGCAGTCAGTTCACTATTATGTTGCAGGCAATCCTGGATGAAAGTAAATTCTTCTTCTTGTGTTGATAAGCATTTTGCAAGCAGGAACCTAAGAGTAACAGGGTCACTAAGTGAACATGCTAAAGGGATTCTTAGTCTAACCTTAAGGCACTTAAGTGGGGTTTTGGGTCTGCTCCTTGTGAGGTTTATGAATTCCATACTAGATCATCACCGTATGAGTAACAAAAACAGTGCAAGCATCTAAATCCCCTGTTTATCCCCTCCCAGATAACTGCCCTAATAGACTGAAGTTAGGCTCCTTAATTCTTTTAAAACCTCAGCTATAAAAAAGAAGACAAAGAAAGAGAAGAAGACCCTCTAGATTTCACCAACTTCATACAAGTTGATTCTTCTATTTAACAATAATGAAAGAATTTTCTAGCAGATAAAAATAAGCAGATTTTAAAATACTGTTAAGCTTCTAACTTAGATTGTGTTGGTGAAAGTAAAAAAAAAAAAGACAAACTATAATAAACAGATGTAATTACTGGTTTACAGAAAAAAAAAAGTAAATTGATGAGACAAATATGCCATAGAATGCAAAATGCTATAGAAACTGAAGAAAAAAGCAATACAAAGTAAGCCAGTATGCTGTAGAAACTGAAGCTAAGAGAAATATTTTGCTGAACTGGAAGCAATAAAGAACTACAGGTCCTTGTTCAGCAATAGTTGTTTACTATAGTCATGTGTCATAAGAATGTATTTTTAAAGTTAGAACAGTTTAGCCTGGTTAAGGGTTTGTCTTGAATATAACTGCAATGCCTTTCAGCTTCTTTGGCTGGTTGAAGGTGTTTTCTTAAGTGATTATATATATTTCAATCTAGTGATTAACAAATTGCTTCAGATTTAAGAGCTACAAGGACATTATTTATTTCTCTAACATCTCCATCTAGGTGTGAAGAATGAAAAAAAAAAAAAAAAGAAAAAAAAAGAAAAATAGCACAGTAGAGTGAAATAGCATATTGCTCTTGCCAATGTTTTCTTATGTAGCTAGATGTATAAATATCAGTAGCTAATTTTTGAAAGGTTTAGAAATAATTCTTTCTGCAATGATTTATTTAATTCATATTTTACAAATACTTGGAATTGAGCAACCACTCTGTCTCAAGAGAGAATAAAAGATCTGCCTTAAGTATCCAAATTCCTGCCTTTCTTGGGGTGTGGAAGTGCACAAACAATTAACTCTACATGAGCTTTAGCAGTGTTTTCCTTAATGGCTCAGCTTTCCCAGGGTCCTTCTTCCAAGAACTACTTACTGGTAGGTAAGGGGCCCTTTCCATTTCTGTTCTGTTCATGTTCACAATGAAATAGTGAAATTAAAAGTGGTGTTATTCTGTCTGAGTACTGCTGTAGCAGATTTCTATGCTGAACACAGATGAAATAGGAGACTGACATTTATAAGGTTCTAACTGTCTCCTAAAGCAATGCTACCCAGCTGGAGGCAATTTTTTATTTACTTGTTTCTAAAAGCATTTTTGGATGCGATAATATGAATACTGAAGAGCTACCTTTACTTTATATTTAACTGTTATGACAATCATCCATCTCATGCAGAAATTAAAAAAAAACTTTGCAAAAATGACTTGTCTACATTATGCAATTATTTTAGCTCCCAGGCCTATGAAAAAGTTAAACAGATGTTAGTACTTCAGTAACAAATTAATGAGTGATCCCAGTGTGAACCAAAGTGAACATATTCTCTCTGTAAGGTTTGGAGTTTTTTTTGTTTTTTAATGATCTGCACCTTCAAGAGATCCAGCATTGTTGTTCTTATCTAGCATAGTTTATTGGCCTAAGCTTTAAATTTCCTTTTTTTGTTGTTGTTGTTTCTGTGTAGGTTTCACTTTGGCTATTATCTCCCACCTTTTCTGCACCAGGTGTGCAATGTTTGCAGCTAAACTTCTCACTCACATGATGGTTGCTTGTTTGGGTACTCAGGTAAGAAAAAAGGCTGAATTCTCTGAGTGTTAATTAAGTACATCTTTACTTTCCTTTTCCTCGCTTCCATGGTCATGTCTGAACAGACCTCCTTTTCTTTTCCATGGTGTAAACGTTATTGGAAAATGTAAAATGTCAACATAAGATACTTATAATTAATCCAATATTCATATTCTATGTTGAGAATTCGATTGAAATTATACATTTTCTGAAAATATTTACAGAAAACTTATGGATGATATAGCTAAATGAGAAAATGGTCCTGTATGTGGAATAAAAAATGTTTTGATGATGGGGTATATAATTGAGACAAAAGAGTTCCATCATTAACATCATTAGTTATTAAATATTTTAATGCCAGTAATCATAAATTCTCTGGGAAAGGTTTACTTTAAGTAGTAGACGATGAAAGCTCTTTTACCCTCTAGTATTTCTAGAAAGGTATAGTTATGAAAAATTTAAATAATAAAAGAGAATAAACTGTAGAAAGTCTTCCTAGTTCTCTCATACTGGTTCAAATAGTAGGTAATGGAATGTCAGCAGACCGAAGGAGCATATAAAAGGAGAATATGTCTCTCTGTCCTATAAAATATAACTTCCTCAACTTTGGTACATCTGGTGAAATGGAAAGCTATGAATAACCTCAAGTATCTTAGAATTACTTTATGGAATGATTCCTTAAGAAGGAGATTTTGTGTATATTTTTAATGCTATAAAGGTGATGTAAATACAAATTTAAATATATGCTGAAGGCAGGGAAGCTGAGAGAATTTAAATATATTAGCAGGCAGGTACTTAGAGGAATGTGTCATATCAGGGAAGTACTCTGTAGATAATTGAAACAGCCCTGTGTTACCTGTAAAAATGTAGCAACTGGCATACCTCTCAGAAAAGCTTTTGTATACTGCCATGGTTAGTATATCATTTTATTCATGTTACCTCATGATATAGTTCTTTGTTGTACAATGGAGTGCATTGATAATGTTCATCGCACAACTGGTCTTAAAATAGAAGGAGCAGGAAAGGTCCTCACAGCACTTCTAGAGATCACTGGATACCAGCAGGTTTCTTGCGTCTTAGGGTGGAAAAGTATTTTGACGCCTCAGTTCTTGATTTTTGAAACACATACTTAATGTTTTTTAATAGTTCTGTGTAGTTACACGGAAAGCTAATTTGTTCTAGGGACCTGTAATGTGCATTGGCTACTAGCGTACAAATGTGGAGACTTAATTTGGCACACATAGCTCATAACACAGGTAAGGACTTGAATATGGTAATGTGTCAAGATTTTATAAAACAAAACTACTGAGAGCTTTGCAGCACATTTTACAGTCTAATGATAGATTTTGCAAAAGCTTCTTCTACTTTTCCTCTGCAGTGGATGTTGAATTGTTTGTGTTCCCAGAACTGTTTGATATTTTGCATATAATGGAACTATGATTATCCATGTTGTATTCTTTCTATCTCCAATACTTTTCCATTTCTTTGGCAATGTGTTGCATTTCCAGTACAGAGAAACTTGTTTCTTTTTGCAGTTAGTTTCTTTTTCACAGAAGTCTTTTGGTTTTTTTTTTTTTCTATAAGGACTCCTTATCAGGTCTTTCGGACCCATTCAAACATCTTAATTTACACACAGAATCACACAGAATGGTTGGGGTTGGAAGGGATCTCTAGAGGTCATCTTGTCCAGCCCCCCTGCTCATGCAGGGACACTTAGAGCCAGTTGCCTAGGACCGTGTCCAGACAGCTTTTGAATATTCCCGAAGATTAAGTCTCCACAAGCTCCCTGGGAAACCTGTTCCAGTGCTTGGTCACCCTCACAGTGGAAAAGTGTTTCCTGGTGTTGAGGGAGGTGCCTGTGCTTCAGTTTGTGCCTGTTGCCTCTGGTCCTGTCGCTGGACACCAGTGAACAGAGCCCAGCTCCGTCTTCTATGCATCCTCTCTACAGATATTGATATGTTTTGATAAAATCCCCCTGATCCTTCTCTTCTCCAGTCTGAACAGTCCCAGATCTCTCAGCTTTTCCTCAGAGGACAGGTGCTCCATCCCTTACTTATCTTGGTGGCCCTTCATTGCACTCTGTCCACTATGTCCATGTCTCTCTTGTACTGGGGAGCCCAGAACTGGACATAGGAGTCCAGGTGTGGCCACACCAGTGCTGAGCAGAGGAGAAAGATCACCTTCCTCAACCTGCTGGCAATGCTTTCCCTAATGTAGCCCAGGATACCATCAGCCTTCTTTCTACAAGGGCACATTGCTGGTTTCTGTTCAATTTGGTGTCCACAAGCACACCCAGGGCCTTTTCTACCAAGCTGTTTTTCAACTGGGTCGCCTTGAGCATATACTGGTGCATTCATTCAAGCAAAGTTAGTTTTGCTTTTTTGACACTAAAAAAGTTAAAAATCATATAATCATAGAATCGTTTATGTTGGAAAAGACCCCTAAGATCATCAAGTCCAAACGTTAACCTAACACTGTCAAGTCCACCCCTAAACTATGTACCTAAGCGCCACATCTACACATCATTTAAATATCTCCAGTGATGGTGACTCAGCATTTCTCTTAAGTCCATTGCATAGGTTTAGACCTATTGAGTAATTTTGTTTGGAAACCACCTCTGAAAATTTTCTGGTTTAAACCCCTGCTCAAAGCAAGCCCAACTTAGGTCAGGTTGCTCAGGACCCTGTCCAGTTGAATTCTGAGCATCTTCAACAATAGAGATCCCACAAGCTCTCTGGGCAAACTGGTCCAATGTTTGACTACCCATTTGGAAAAGTGTCTCCCAATATCTAGTTTAAATTTAATTTGTGGCAACTTATATCCGTTGTCTCTCATGCTGTCAGTATGCATCTGCAAGAATAGTTCAGTTCCCTCATTTCTAGGCATTTCTATGAGGTAATTTATAATAGTGATAAGATTTACCCCTCCCACACTCTTAGGACTGAAGAGCCCCAGGTCATCTGTATATTTTGTGGTCAAAATATCTTGGTGGACCATGACTAAACTTGCTCCAGTGTGTCAGTCTCCTTCCTGTAGCGGAGATCCCAGTTGTGTCCAGATGTGGTCACACAAGTGCTGGAATAGAAGGGAAGAATCACTTCCCTTCACTTTTTTTTTTTTTCTAATGTAAGGCAAACAGCAATACTAGGGAGCTTTGCAACAAGGCATACGGCTGACTCAACGTCAACTTGCCATCCACTGGTCGTCTTCTGCAGGTCTGCTGCCTTGCCACGTGGCCTCAACCTGTGCTGTTACATGGTGTTACTCTGTCACCAGCTGTATGACATTGCATTTGCCTTTGTTGAACGTTGTCAGAAGTCAGCCCATGTTTCTAACCTGTTGAGTTTCCTTTAAACAACAGCCTTACAAATCACCTGCACCCAGATTTTTGAGTCCTCCTCAAACTTCCAGTGTGGCCCTCTGCCCCATCATCTGTGCCCAGATGCTTTAAGTAGTATCAGCAGCTGTATCTCGACTCCTGAGAAGCGGTGCTAGTAACCAGGCTCCAGCTAGACTTCATACTGTTGATCACAACCCTTCAAGCCTTGTGGTACAGGCAATTTTCCACTCACTTTATAATACATCTAACCAAAGCATATCTCAGCATTTTAATGATAATACTGTGGACACCACAAAAACCATATCAAAGACCTTGCTAAAGTTAAGGTAAACAACATTTGCTGCACTTGCCTAAGCTGGTCATCTCCTTATGGAAGGAGGTTGGATTAGTCAGGCATGATTTTCCCTTCTTAAATCTACGACAGCTATTCTCAGCCACCATCCTGTCCTTGTGCTAGGTATAACTTCCAGCGGGATATGTGCTATAACTGCCCTGCGGACTGAAGTCAGTCTGTTTGGTGTGTAGTTCAGAGGTCTTTTTTCCAGCAATTTAATGATTCATCTCTATGCCTAGAAGTTGATCAGAAGGAAGGACAAATAAAAAACCCCTGATGCCTCACCTGTACAAGAAGCACTGTTAAACATGGTATTAAAGGGTTATTTTCATAACTGTCTATATCTAAGATGAAGAGTTGAGGCCTAACTGCAAGTTCAAAGTTCTCAAACCCCCCAAATAAGTCATATTTCTAATAGTATCCCAAATCAGATTTTGTTGCATGTTGAGGCATTATTTGTGTGACTTGCCTTGGTTCTCAGCTTTTGTCTTGTTATTTCATGAGATATCTTTATCATCTTTAAGAGTTACTTAGCTGCATTCACTAGCTACTCAGAATCTGGCATCAGTATTTGCACAGGACTTTATAGAAACTTTGGACTAGAGATGCTACTCAGTCTGAGAATTGAGTATTTATTTCTGAAGATACGTTGACCATGATTTCCATGATTTACTGATAGAATTTTCATTCCAGGCCTTATCGAGCTGCTAAACTCCTGTTTTTCCATTCTCAGGCCAGTGCTGGAGCTGCTTTTCTGTAAAGTAAACATCATGCTGTCACACATACACTCGCCAAAGAATTTATAGCTAGATCAGGTACACCTATGGGAAATATTTCACTTGAATGGCATATTCAATTGAAATTCAGTTTTCATGAAAGTAGTCTAAGTCATCAACTTGTCTCCAAAATGTGTATAGAAGAACCTAAAAAGCTTTTTAAGGCTTGACCTAAATGGGAACTAAAATAAAAAGTTGCTGCATTTTCTATTAAATGTGGCTTTATTTGACTTTTACATTTTAAATATCACTTTTAAATTTTCGCATACTGATATGCAAGCCTATTGTCAGTAGTATGCCTAGCATTTCTTATCTGCTGACAATTCCAGGTTTCAAATAATATCTCTATTGTAATCTCATAGGTTTCTTCTCAAGGTTGGGCAGGAGCACAGGCATGGGCATGGGCATGTCTGGAGACCAGCTCAGGTAGAGACTGATGGCCCAGGGCTGAGCTTAGCTGGCTAAGCTCCTAGGCTAGAGCTGCTGGGCCTAGGAGCAGAGAGTGTAGGTGGAAACTCCAGTTGGGACTGGTCAGGACCATTAAGGTTTA